AGGGCAGGGCCCCCAGGAAGAATGGAAGCGCTCACCTCCTCCAGTTCTCACAAATCTTAAGGAAATAATTCGGCCTCTGTATTTTGACTCAAAACAAAGAAACTTTTTTAAAAAACATTTCAGTTGAAACTTGCATAATTCTTCCAGTGGAGAAATCCTCCCTAACTTTCGCAATCCTTAGAAAGAGACACATTATTGCTGCTTGTGTAACAGTGTCCGGGCCGCAGAGAGTCTGACACTGGCCACGGACACCTCCTGCCAGACGGCCAGGGCCCGGGCCGGAAGCACCGGTGGCCAGGGGGGTGGGGCAGGGTTGGGGTCACTCTCCACGGACAGACGTCCGCACCTCCTGTCCCATCTGCCTTCACCCAACATCACACACACATTGCACGGCGGTGGCAGGAAGGGTAACAAACCCAGACGTGCTCTGGGTCAAAGCCCCGTACTGGCTGAGGGACCCTCCCCCCCTGCCCGCAGAGGGCAGCAGAGACGGAGGTGGGGACTACTCAAGGGCCCTGCTGCCCCCAGGAGACACTGGCACAGGGGACACCCCCAAAGGTGAGGGGCCCAGCCCAGCTCCAAAGATGGGTGCTGGAAATGGGCAGATGGGCCCAGGGGACGACCACCCAGATGTGGCTCTGCTCACTGCAGACAGACTGAGGGCACCCAGCACCCCACTCTCTCCCTCGTGCTCACATGGCCAACCATGGGTACAGGGCAGAAACCAGGCCTCCTTTGAGCTGCTGTTTCCCCCACTTGAGATGCCCTCCCAACCTCTGCTCTGAGGCCATCACCCTGACTAAACTGACTCAAAGGCCCCATCATTCTGCATTAGGGGGGCGGATCCAGGAGCCTCGCCTCAGAGCATCACCTGAGATGGTACCCCACCTTCTCAGTCAAGCGTCTGGGACCAGTAAATTACCATGGTACCCCACAAAAACATCGAGCAGAACAAGTGGACAGAGGGACAGGTGACCCTGAATCTCTGCCCAGACCTGAGGTCATAGGGGTGAGGCACAGCCACCCCATTAAACAGAAGAGGCATCCAGGAAGAAGTGTGCTAGCCAGAGTCCATGCCAGCCTGAAGGAACATTCCTGACGCTGTTCCTTCCCATGGTGGTTTCAGCTTAAAAGGGCAAAGGGCACCTCGCTCAGAGAGGGTCCCTCGGCCAGGACCCCCAGGCTCTGCACCTGAAAGCCACAGTCATTCCCCAGCAGAGACCCCAAGACTCTGAGCTCCTCCACGCTAACGGCCTGTCCAGGTCTCTGCTTCAAGAAAACACTGCCCTCTGACCAGGAGAAAGTCTCCAGGGGACGCAGACAAAACCATTTCAGCATTCGGAAGTCAGACACCGCAGTTGCGGCCACTCACGCTGCACACCGCAGGGCCACCAGCCACGTGACAAGGGCTGTTCCACAGGAAAGAGCGGTGCCAGGGCTCGGGGGCGGGGGCAGGGGTGCGGCTCCCTCGGCCTGAGAGCCAGCATGCACCGGCAACAGCACTTCCGAGAGGCCTGTTTCTGGAACACAGAGCAACCCTGCTCAGGCCCCAGGGAGGCAGAGCACTCACTGCTCTGGTGTCCCCTGAAAGGGAAACACCTGGTGACCCGACGAGGAGGGACCAGGAACCCTGCCCCTGGCAGCACCCAAGCCCGCAGTGCCAACGTCCCATCTATGACTGACAGCAACCTGTGCTGCTAAAAAAATCAGCCCAAGTGGGAGGTGCAGGCCATACGGGCCAAATAAAAGGGTGGGCAGGGGCAGCTCACGGCCCTCATCTCCCTGCCACGTGTTCCCAGAAGCATAACGACATGTCTCCACCCCACCTGTGACACTCGACACCTAAACACCCACGAGAAATACAACATTATCAGTGGCCACTACTTACTGCAGTCCCCATTCCACAGATGAGGACACTGAGGCACAGAGAGGCTAAGCAACGTGTTCAAGGTCACACAGCAGTGAGGGACGGAGTGAGGCTGGGAAAGCATTCCATTCCCATGGGGTCCCACACCTGGGCCACCCGCTGTGGACACCAAAAGACAGCAGCCAGGGGGACCTCTGAGGTGGCGCCCCAGTGCCCCGGCAGCCCCAGCAACCACAGGACAGCCAAGAGCACATACTCTGGTCCCCATTACACTAGTGCCATCACTGAGGAAGGCTGCCAGCCGACACACAGGACTCAGCACCTGCACAGGGTTTCCAGGCTCAAAGCAGGGCCCTGCCCCACACTCAGTGCCACGTTGGGGCAACCACAGGATCCATGGCCCCTCTGTGGCTGGGCCGCATGCGAAACAGGGCGAGGGGAGGCAAGTGGGCATCAGGGACATGACCATCACTGACCCTTCCCACCGTCGATGCCAGAGAAGCACTGATTGAGTGTCCATCTGGCAGGAGACCTGGTGACACTTTGGCCACCAGCACCCAGGACACACTTAAGCTTCCTTCCATTTCACCAGAACCCAAGCCCCCTGGGGAGCCAAGGACCCTACAAAGAGCAATTCTAGCACATAATCTTTGTTGCCTTCTGGCTTCATCCTCGGTAGATCAAAAATATTAAAATAAGCTATAAAGGAAGTGAAGAAATAAAAACATCCTATGAACAGCTGTCAAGCGGTGAGTGGGAAGAGCAAACCGAGAAGGGGGGGGTCTTCCCAGGGAGCTCCTCCCAGAACAAGTGGGGTCTGGACAGCCACGGCTCCCTCCACCATGATGCTGACACCCTCCTCCTCACACGGTGCCCTGGCACACACACACACAAGCACACGGCCGTGTTGAGAAGATTTAAAGGGGACCATGCACCCCAAAACTCCGAACGGTGCCATCACAGAGCCAAGACAGCAGGCAGAGCCCCAAGAATATGACAAGTGGGCACGGCCCCCAGGAAGAGCCCCCCAAGGTGGAGGGGCCGGCAGAAGGGCATGGAGCTCACAGAGGTGCAGGCCAGGCAAGGTCCAGGGGTGCATGAACAGACGGCCGCACAGTGCCAGGGCCTGGAAGGGGCACACCAGGCCACGGGCCCCGGCCCCACGGTGAGGACAGGGCTGGGCTGGCACTCAGGCCTAGGGACCCCAACCACTTACGAGGAGCACATCTTCACCTGGGAAATTCCTTTTCAATCAGTAACTGAGGTTTCTGAGAGGCTGTGGGGAGATCACTGAAGGAGAAAGGGCAGGCTGACCGTCTGTTGAAATGACCAGAGTGAAAGTGTGCTCTGGCCGCTCCTCTGTGACCATGGCTCCAGGGACTGTCCTGCCTTCTCCCCAAGCAGCACCTCCTGCGAGCTCACACCGGGCCTTCCCCAAACCTGAGGAAAGCCGCATCCGGAATGGCAGAGCCTGCTACAAGGGGGCCCGAGGCCTGGGTCTGCAGCTGACCAAAAGCCAACCCCAGGAAGACAGGAAGATCACAAACACACATGACCCAGATTCGGACACAGACACACCTGCCAGGCAAGACCCACGGCTGTCCACTGAAGGCAAGTGACCAGCCATGCCTTGCCCACAAGCTCCAGTCTGCCAGAACCCACAATCTTGCACATGGGGCTCCCTTGGGCCACGCTGGCTGTCCAGGGTGCAGGCACCCCACACAGAAAAGCTCCCGGTTCACGGGGAGTGCCCATGATGGCACCCACAGCCAACCCCCTGTCTGAAATGAAGGGCGCGCCATCAGCCTTCCCACCCGCAGCCCCCCTCCCCCAAGCTGCCCACTCAGAGCCTCCCGTCCAACCCCAGTCTGCAGACACCTGCCACCTGGGAGCTGGCCTAACCAAGGGCAGAAATGCCACCAAACACACGCACACGCTTGCACACGCAAATACGCGGTAGCTCCCTCCAAGCACAGGAGACAGGCCCTCCTCTTCCCCAGCCCCTCCTCCACTCCCTGAGACTGACACTCCGCTGGAGGGGCGCCCAGAGAAAACCGGGCGGGAGCATCTATTCACAGATTCAGAAAAAAAAGTTTGATGCAATAGCTGAATTAATTAGGCCTCCCAAGAATAGCTAAGCCAATGCAGCATTCTGTGTGTGCAATTTAATAAGCCCCGATATTTAAAAGTTACAAATACTTGGGGAGGGGGAGAGGCCATGAGAAGTTGGCGAGGACCTCAGCGATTGGTGTCAGCGTCTAGTGGCCAGGGAGCTGCCGGCCGATCACAGGCAAACAACAGAGCCTTTGCTGGGCCCTCCCTGCCTGCCGCTGCTCCCTCCAGCGTTTCAGAGCGAGGGAGAAGGAAATGGGTGCGTCCAAAACAAATCACAGGCCACTGGCTACTCCGACTCAGGGCCCCGGGTGCCCGGTGCCCAGTGGCCCTCGCCCTTGCACAGGACTCGGGATTCACGCCCTGGCAGAGCCGGGGAGATACACGGAGCTGGGGTCGCCGAGTCTCGGCCCCCTGACACCGTGCCTACAAACCTGGGTTCGTTTTTGAGTGTCTCCCAGGACTTCGCGGCACAAAGCGGCTGCGCCCGGCCGAGTCCGGTCTGCCTGGGATCACGGGCAGGAGCCCCTCTGTCGGGAACCCCGGGAGCTCCAGGGGGACAGCCGTACCCGTTTCCCACACCAGGCCTGGGCCTCTCCTCGCAGGCCCCGAAGAAGGCCGGGCCGGACGAGAACTCACTTCTCGGGACCGTGGGCCGGAGCGGCTGAGGTCTGCCGCCGGCCCCTCCCGGCCTATCTGGACAATGGCGGTGGGGCTCGGGAGGCTTCTCCACCCACCAGGCGGGGCCCCAGGTCCCCGGACCCCCGCAGCGTGCGAGCAGGCTCATCCTAGGGGTCGTGCAGTCGAGCAGGAGGAAGGCCTTCCTCCCAGGCTACGTGGCCGTCAGTGGGGGCTCTGAAGCTCCCCTGATTGTCCTTAAAACAAAGCAAGCTGCTGAAACGTGAGGAAGGCAGGCGCACAAGCCCCGGCCTGCACAGAGAGCCCCTGGCCCAGGAGGGCTCCCCACCCTCTCGCGACGCGCCCCTCCCACGCCCACAGCGGGGGCGGCGGGGACACTCACCCGGGGCACCCGCCGCTTGTACTTGTTGCCGTAGTCGAACTTCTCCTTCACGTCGTCCAGGCAGCGGCCGAGGCGCGCCTGCTCCTCCTTGCCCGTGTAGTCCTGGCTCAGCAGGATGTAGGCCCGCCAGTTGGCCGAGTCGAAGCCCCAGTGGCAGGTCCGGTTCTCAAGGGCCTTGTGCGAGTGCACCACGAACTTGTGCGGCGGGTACATGAGGCGGCAGTCGAGGCACTGGATGCAGGCGGCGCTCGGGCTGCTGTAGAGCTCGGGCACCAGCAGCCCCTTGCACTTGCCGAAGCACTCGTGGTACACGCGCACGCTGCGCTCGCTGAGCTCCAGGCCCAGCGCCAGGCTGGCGGCCAGCTCCTTCTTGCAGGGCGGCGGGTAGGCGCCGCCGTACAGCAGCGCGTTGCACAGGCGCTCCGCGTCCGTCTTGGTGATGAGCCCGCACGAGGGCGCCGAGAAGGGCAGGATGCCCATGACTTTGAGGATCTCCAGCTGGTCGGCCGTGCAACGCGAGCAGTAGATGTGCAGCTCGTCGCACACCGAGTTGATCTGCTGCAGGGAGAAGTCGCGCAGCACCGAGTTCAGGATCTGCGGCAGGCACAGGCGCTTCTCGCCGCCCACCACGAAGCACGAGATGGTCTCGCCCTCCAACACGGTCTCACAGCGCTCGGTGGAGCGGTCGGACGGCATGAAGAAGGGCCCGGGCAACACGGGCGGTGGCGGCTGCAGAGCGGGCAGGTGCGTGAGCACAGGCGGCGGCTCGGTGGCCGCGGGCACAGGCGCCGGCACAGCGGCCGCGCCCGCCTCCTTGGCGCTCTCTTTCTTGTAGGCCTCCTGCGCCCAGCGCGCCGAGAAGGCGGCCGGGCCGCCCAGCGAGCTCATGGAGCTCAGGTGGAACTGCTCCAGCGTCTTCTGCAGTCCCGGGTGCGGCTGGAAGCCGCCGCGGCCTCCCGCCGTCGCCTCCATGGTGCGCTCCGGCTCCGCGGGCCTCTCCCGCTCCCGCGCGCCCGGGCCCCCG